TCGTCGTTTTTCTAAAGTCAACTAATAATTAAAAATAAATCAGTCGCTAACGGTGTGGTTATTCCATATACAAAACAATTATCATATTAAGTATGAAAAAAATTACCAAATATTCGAATCTAGCTAGAAAGTTTTGTACAGCTTAAAATTTAAAACAACAGATGTTTCTTCATTTATTTCGTTCATTATAAAAGAAGATAGAAGTGTAAAAGAAATATCTGTTTTAATTTTAAATGAAAGTGGACGTTTCTTCCGTCATCAGTCTGTCTAGGAAAGGAAATTAAATGCCCTTATCTTACCGTTGAGATACAATCCCCTCGGCTTTTTCATGACAGAACATTGACATGGAAAACTGTTTTTGTATTTAAGAAAAACCATTTTATATTTATTTGTATAATATTAATCAGTCGTATGACCCTTGATATTATAAATATTCTCGAATGACAGCCATTTACCGGTAGGCGAAGTGTGGGGCGGCCCTCCACTAGATGGAGTGACGAGTCAGGACCATTCTTTGTGGAATTCTTTGGGAAATATGTTCAGCAGTGGACTTGTGTGGTGTGGTGATTTGTTGCGGTGGAAGAGAATACATCAGTTGCGGGTCTACATAATAGAATTAAAAAATATTTCTTCTTTTTGTCACAGATCACCATAGATCAAACAGCTGCCCATAAATAAATTAAAACGTGAAATATTTTCTTTGCTTTTGGATATTATGTGTTTCTACTCTGTGAACGATTTCATAGATTATAAATTTATAAGTTGCACATAAATTATTGCCCCTAATATTGTATTAATAAATAATGATAATATCTACAATCGTTATATAATTCCCATGTTAAGCGTTCCTATTGTAAGCGTATAAATTTGTCTAAATAAGTATTATAAAATGTTAAATATTATTCTAATGATATTTCTACACCGGATACGGTAGTATATGTGAACTTTTCTATAACTTGAATGTGTGTAATTACCGTATACTATGAAATAAACGATATAAATAGGCCCAAAAAAGTACACTGTTGGACACATGGCGGATAGATTAACGGTCGCTATTTTTATTATTAATTCAAAATAATAATATTTTACCTTTTAATGAAAGTAAATATTTTTTTAAATAAATTTCAACATAAATTTCCACATTATGTATGTATGTAAATTTCCACATATCTGCTTCAGAAGTAGGTGATTATACGAAATAGCATATCGTTACCGTTGTAGCCTATTAAATTCCACAGTTGAACAAAGGCCTCCACCATAGATCTCTCTCTCTCTCTCTCTCTGACTCCGTACACATAGTTTTTTTTTATTCGATAATACACCAAAATGACCTTATAAAGCTCCTTTTTATACTTTGTGCACGAAATCCAAAAACAACTATATTATTTCAGACTTTACCTTAAACACCTTTAATATATTTAACATAACTCTCTTTCATACTAACAATATTCCTAGAGGCAATATTCTTAATTCAAAGAGGCAAATAAATAATACAGCCTAAGTTAGAGAAGTTTTAAGTCTGTTTTAAAAGTTTACCTTGTGCTTAATTACGTTTTCATTTATATTCCTTTGCGTCCATCCAGTCTAAAACTGCTGAAATGATCTCAAAAGTTCTCACTGAAACATGAAATCTTACATTTTATGTTCTACTGTATAAATTTGTTTTGATGAGAAGTGCTAATTATCGGTTTTTAGTATACTTATTTTACATTATAACGACTGACATAAGTAAAAATATAAACCCACTAAAAATTACAATGTGGGGATCACGTCAATTCCTCATACGGTAGGTATGCGATAGTATAGCCTTTTCTTCTCAGAAATAAGAGGCCTGTGCCCAGCTATGGAACGTATATAGGCTATAACTTTAACTTTTTTCAAGTTATACTCTTTCCATAAGAAATTACTAACATCAGAAATATTCCGTCAAAGTGAAACCAAATTTAATATAATATTTTTTATAGAATTAAGGGTGATCAACTGAGAGTCGCTCGCGTAAATAAAAAGTACGCTAATGAAACTGTAGGCCTACAATTACCGTTCCCGTTACGGACTGTTAAAGTTGTATGCTGCATATAGGTCTCCCCCAAAGATTTCCTCATAGGGTTGTATTATAGGTATGCAATAGTTGCCTCGCATGGGACGCGGGTTGGTAACCGCAGTTTTTAATTTTTATTTTTAGTGGTCAGTAGAAAGAAGCCCAGTAGAAGTAGGTAGTAAGAAGAAGGTCAGTAGAAATAACCCAACAATAACTAATAACTAAATATAAGCGAGTCTTATGTCAGGATCGGTATCTTGGCGATCGATCCTTTCTTTAACAAAACGTTTATTTAACTATACAACTAATAAACAGTATACAACTAATAAAAATTCAATAATGCACCTAATTTTAGGTCTTTTTCTATGAAATTGTAACGAAATATTTTACCAATCCAAGGGCATATATAGTTGGTCGAAATTACTCGTTAACTTGTTCAGCCTGCTTAGCTGTGACAGTTTCCATATGAATTTCTTTACATATACCACATATTTATTGTCGAGCATACTTACAAAACCAGCGATGTAGTTGTTAGAGGGGGAAACATATCATGACTCTAATAAAAGTACCACTTTCAAGCTAAATATTTCGCAGACTGACCCCTGAATCGAAATAATGCTGTTCCATATCCCCAATATTTTGGAAGTCCTGTCTAACTAGACCCCACACGATGGAATAGACATTTAAAAAAATCATCACCCATTTACCTGTAGGGCTGGTAACAAAAATAAAATTGTTTTTCAAGATCTTGTTTCAAAACTGTAGGCGTGAAACTATGTGAAATTACAGCTTTGTAGCACCCGGGGCCTCCGATTAAAACCGCGGACGGACGGACGGACGGACGGAAGGGGCGAAACCACAAGGGTTCGTTGTGGTTTAACCACGGATTGCTAAAAAGAGAAATGTAATTATAATTTGGATCATAAAATTGAGATTTTTCAAGGTTAAGGTATCATTCAAATATCTTACTTATTTATCATATACTATTACCATTATAGCCTATAAAAGTCCACTGTCGAACAAAGATCCCCCACATAGATAGTCTCATAGGGTGTAGAAAATTGACAATTGAATCGTAGATATCGAAGCACTTACTCAACAACAGAACAACAACAACAACGGTACAACAGAAAATGTCTCGTTCAAGCGAACAAGACAGACAAAGATTCAATCTACATAAAGCCAAAATTCATCACTTCTAACGAGGAGACTACGTGTTGATTAAGAATAACCCTCGCAATCAAACATCTCCCGACCTTAAATTCAGTGAACCATGTGAAGTTTGCAGAATACTAGAAAATGATCGCTACTTGGTGAAGAAAGTGATCAGCAGTGGACGACCTCGCAAGTTTACTCATGATCACGCCCACACTTGGCGAGCAGGTTTCCAACCGCAGCTATCATTATTTTGAGCTGTTATCATGAAGACGCTGCTGCTCATCACCCGTTTCAATTTCCCTCTGTCGCCTCTTACGACACCCACGGTACGAAATGGAGTGGTGCATATTCTCACACCGCCACTACATGGTTACTTAGTTTTTGTCATATATCCTCGTTTGATTGAACAACTCACAAATTTCCACTGCTGAACATGCTCCTCCCCTGTCGTAGGGAGGACTTGTCTTAACCGCCACGCTTGGCAGTACCAGGCGTCTCATAGCCTTCGCATTTACACCGCTTTAGCAATTATTATAGACGCCTCTCACTCAAGACACCCACAGAGCATAATAGTGTGATGGACTTTCTTAAGCCACCAGATACGGATTTGTCTGAAACAGTTTTGATTAAATTATTTCTACTCTCGGTAGATTCCATCGAGTCAAGACATAACCTTTTAAATATAACTTTTTGTTAAAATAAATGTTCTAAGTGATAGTACTAGTCATATTTTATGTAGGAAGAAAAGGAAATGATCAATATTTCTTTTTTATTACATAATAAATCTTCGAAGTCAGTAATCAACTGAATCTCAATTAAAGGAAACGATTGCGATACTTTCCAAAATGGAAGGTATGCGTTATCGCGAAAGTCCGGGGCGGGTCGGGATATTGTCTGTCGAATTGAAGCTGACGTGAGCACCTGGCTCTTTTCGACGAAATTAAAAAAGTTTCCAACTACACAAGAAATTCGCAGGTCTCATTTATTTAAATGCTAATGGATTCTGTGTTAGTGTTCATTTTGAGTTTTGTCATCCCCATAAAAACTTTTGACATTTTATTCTTAAAGATCTATTGTAGATAAAGTATTTTTTTTGTATAAATGCGCTCGTGTATTCATATTACTTGTTGGTATTCATTAAAGTAAGCTATTTTTTAAGTAAGTATAAAAATTCATTGAGACTTGGTAAAAGACAGTCTTCAACATTTTAAGTTTATAGGATAGTTTTTTGAGTGACCCACAATATTTTTTTTTTGGGAATTTAATGATTTTTAATAAGACATGACAAAGGGTCATCGAAAAGGGCAGAACAACGTCTGCATGTTGTATGTTAGCGCTAATCTCAGAAACAACAGTGAGGATTTTCATACGGTATTCGTTACTTCGTATTAGTTATTTATTTAAAATTAATATCAATACCTAAGTGCTTTTTACCTCAAAACTAGTGAAGTTTGGAGATTCATGATGTACAAAGGTTGTATATAAAACTTATTTGTAGGTGTTAGTGAAACCCATGCCAAGCCGAGGCGGGTCGCTGGTATTATTTATATTAAATTAAATTCTAACGTATTAATCACACATTTAATAGTAAACAGTGTCTTTCCTACATGATAGAATCATAATAAAATAAAATCGTTTGTTACTTATGATTATAACACATGATATTGATGATATTCCATATTCTGCCTTTAATATTTAGGTAATATTAGTTTTTCATTATGATTATAATATTATAATAATTTTGCTTAGTATTAGCACTATTAAATAAAATTTTAACTACTTGAATTTATAAATCCGTCAATATTTAAGCACATCCCATTTGTTTGATCCACTTTTGAATATCAGGGTTACATAAATTGCTGTAAACACCGGGTGTGTTAGGCCTTGCACATCCTGATCCAAACGATACAACTCCCACTTGTGTTTTAGATCCAGTTCTAACTAGAGGCCCACCTGAATCACCCTGTAAAAGTAATGTAAGCGATAAAGTACTAAACGATATTTTTATTTGATTCAAGTTAAAACTTTCATAAAATGTTCTTCATAGCGATTTAATTTGTTTGAAACATAAACCTTTATCTTATATGCATAACATATTTGAATATATTATATATCTTAAAAATGTACTTGTGAATATAAAAATATTTTCAAATTTGTATTGGTGCAATAAATAATATATAAAACTAAAAGGTTTTTAATAGGTACTTCATGGTAAGTGGATGCCGGGGCCCTTGACACCTACATCTACGATTAAGAATCAAAACGCAGGTGAGTTGTCACACCTGAGGAGTAAGAATGAATGCTTCGCTACTAGTGAAAAAAGTCTCCAGTTCTATACACTCACCAAAAGAAACACAGCAGCTATAAGCTACTATTTTACGCTGATATTCTGTGAGAGGGTGAACCTTTTCAGGTCGAGCCGACCCATTCGTGCCACAATAGAATTTACTTACAGCGTGGCTCTACCTTGTTAAAATTAAATCAGATTTCAGTTTAAACAACACATTAATAACAAAACCTGCGAGAAATAGAAAGATCACAAACCTGACATGAATCTTTTCCACCTTCAGGAACACCAGCACAAATCATTCGAGGAGTTAAATTTGGATATGATTGTTTGCAGTCATCGTCAGATACTGCATCAACATTAACAGCCATTAAAGTGTTACTCGTGTCGCCGTTTTCCTAAAATAAATTACAACTGATTTGATTGACAGAATAATTGTAGGGTAACCGTTTTGCAATACATTTTATTATTCCATAAAACGACAACTTCTAATAAATTATAACTATAAGTACTTATTTTCATTGAAGCCGACTTGGAGGGACTCGGAAACTGCGTATCATGAAATTCACTTCTTTTCAAACAATTTTTTATTGTAGGATAGTGTGACAAACGAGCACACAGTCCACCTGATGGTAAGTGGTTGCTGTGGCCCATAGACATCTACATCTATTCTCTTATGCGATTCAAAATGCAGATGCGTTGTCACCCATGAGGACTAAGATGGAATGCCTCGTTTCCAGAAAAAAGGGTCTCCAGTTCTCTACACTCACCATACGAAACACAGCAGCATTAAGCTACTATTTCAAGCTGGTGTTCTTTGAGAGCGTGGTCCTTTCCCGGTCGAGCCGACCCATTCGTGCTACGACTATACTACTAATATAACTGCAGCATGGCTCTACCACGTAGAAAACAATGAGAGGAGGCAAGCAGAGTTTCCTCTAAGCAATGGAACGTTTATAGATTACATTTAACTTTACTAGAATTTAGGTAGTAAAATAAATGCGCTCAACATTAAATGTTACATCACTAGCTTTACTTACACTGGTGTCACCCCAACCCGTGACAGTCAAGTTTGTCCCCGAAGATACAGCACAATTACTCGAAGGCAAGTTAATCGGTTCAGTGTTTCTGCCATCTATAGTAATGCGTCTGAACAGTTTAATTAGAGCAACATCGTAGTCACTAGTCCTAGCGTTGTATTTTGGATGTCTGACAAGTATTCTTGAATCGTATGTATTGCCGCCGCTTGCAGCGTCAGTGCTTCCCACTCTTATATTGGCTGACTCCATTCTGTTATAAAATTATTTATTAAATTAGCCCTTTTTAACAAATATAAAAAGTGATAAAATATATCAAATTATTATTTATATATATACAGATTTAATGATGGACCAAATTGAACCGAACAACGTTATGATTTCTCTGAATGCTTAGGTACCAATATTTTCTTTTAAATATAAGAAAGTTTAACAACTGAACACACAGTGCAGATGATGGTAACTGGTAGCTGTGGCCCATAGACAATTACCGTGGGTGTTCGACTTTCGTTACTCAATATAAGTAAAACGGCAGTATTATGCTGCTATTTCAAGTTAGTATTCAAAGTTAAAGCTCAAAAGGAGATTGAAAAAGGAAATTTGAAAAAGGTAAAAGACAAAAACAAAAGACAAAAATAATCTATACCCAGTGACGCAATGGGCGGCCGTGAGAACACACCGCTGAGTAACAATTGATCCTCCACACTGGTAATAGTCACCAGTTCCCGCTTGCCTCAGCAACAGGTATACTTGGTAAGGGTAAGATTGGATAGTAGTTTCGCTCCCCCCTACTATCTTACCATCAGTCGTCTTATGAACTTTACGTGGGCCGTGATTTTTACCGTTTACACCTAAAATAGTTAAGAAATAATTTTAAAAATCGTCTTAAATTAGAAAGGTAAACAAAATATGAGATAGAATATCTATATTTAGTTAATAATAAAAATAGTATCCAGGTCGCAAATAGTCCACATCTGAACGCGGGCCTCCGTATATTAGGAAGGACTTAAATGCCGTAATCGCAATTTCAATAACATGACTCACAGCAGCTCCAGGTCCAGGTCGTCGGTGTGGGTATTTTTAATGCGATTGGTTTTTCGACGACAGACCACACGGGACCACAATACATGTCTAAAACTTTTCTTAGCCACTCCTTATCACACCGTCGCCACAAAAGGGGGTTAAATGGAATACTTTAACCACCACCACATAGTGCTATATATAACTTTTGTCTTATTGGAGCGGAGCTCTCACGGCGCGGCGCAAGAAAACGATTCCTTGAAATCTATCCCCTCCGTAACCCGCAGGCCAATTTACATATTTTTTCGGCAATATTTGTAGCTCAACGCAGACAAGGTTTGTAAACAATAAAAATCTGAATTTGTCTAAAAGATATTAAAAAAAATAACCAAAAATACATTGTCTGTGGGAAAATACATGTAAAGAAAAAGAGCGAGCTTTAGAATTTTACTCCGTTCCTTTTATGATGCTAACAAAAGGTTTTACCTTTGCGTGAGCATCAGCCCTAGTATATGTATACGCACCCAAGATGGCAGAATAAAAGACGACCACTAATAAAGTAAGCAGTTGATCCATTGTCGTTGCGAAGCTGGAAGTCTTTCATTTACAATGGCGATACCCGCTTAAATACTAAATATAATCATGGCAAACGATAATTACTGTATAGGATTATGGAGACAGTAAACTATATACAACTATAGCGATAATGTGCGTATGTATGATAAGAATGCCATTAAAACTAATCTTTAACTCTATGCCTATAATTTCCCTCAGCAATTGAATAAATGCGGAAGCGTATTTTGTAAAGAACTAACATCGTCTTATCGTCTAAGATAATAACCACAATGTTTATTTTATGTATTAGTAAGTGCTTGGTCCTTGACCGTGTAGTGGCGGTGTTAGAATATCTTGGGGAGCTATACCCCGCTTAGCGGGCAACTATGGCAAATAGTTCCCCCGCTGTGAGTCAATTTATTGGTAGGCTTATGTTTAGCTGTGAACTTTAATCCGGCTGTGACAGTAGCGGTAAGTTCTAGGTAAGTAGCATAAACATTTTTTTATAAAAAGAATATTAACAATGCTATTAACATTACTAATATTCCTCTTAACCACTCGTGGCAAGCTTAAATTGCTTGTGCTACGAGTGGTTCACGCCAGTAGTCGAATGGCCGATTCGAACCCACGACCTTTTTGAGTTCGCGGTCCGCGCCCTGCCATTAGGCTACTGTCGCTTCGTTTTAACATAATATTGTATCTTAAAATTATAATATCATAAAATTGTAATTTAACATAAAAGTGTATCGATCATATCTATCAAGTGTATATATTCAAGTAATTAATTGAACTTTAACTTAATATTCCTCCGGTTGGTGGCGTTTAAGGATATCCACCACCACATATCATCTCGTGAGTGTCGTAAGGGACGACAGAGGGAAAAAAATCAGGGATAGGCAGCATAACGACTATTAAAAACCTAATATCGACTAAAAACAAAACTGCGTTTGCAACCCGCCAAGCGTGGCAACTATGGCAAATATCCCCCTTATGTGGCAATTCATTGGGAGGCCTATGTTCAACATAATACCATGATACGCTGTAACGGTAACGGTAAGTTAATACAGTCGGTCATCAGACTAATGATTTATCAAAAATTTCGTGTGATAGCGGCGAAACATAAAAGAATTCGTTACCTCATTTTGTTTTGTAAGAAAAACTATGGAGAAAGTTAGAAACATATTATCTTACCACAATATAAGACAAAAAATTAGATATTTTTACAGGTGATAACACCATGCTGTAGCTATATTATGGTTGGAGCATTAATGGGTCGGCTCACAAGGAAGGACCACGCTCTTATAGATTACAGCTTAATTGTGCTGTTTTCTGTATGGTGAATGTAAAGAACCAAGGATCACTTTACTAGAAACGAAACATTCCATTTTAGTTCTCAGGGGTGATAACGCAATCTTCATTTTGATTCTTAACCGAGGATAGATGTAGATGTCTATGGGCCAAGGTATCCGCTTACCATCAGGTGGAGTTCGTTTGTTACTCTTACTCTATGAACAAACAGTGTTGAGATAGTTGGCACTATACCTATAATATACGCAATTCGGAGACGCTGTGCAGCTGGAAAGGTACGAGAAATCATGTACTGAGATCGTCAATCAACGTACTAATCGTGAAGATTACGACAAGTCCTTTCTACAATGATACAAGCCTGTACAATGCCAATTTATCAGTATATTTAATTTCATTGGTTGAATTTAATGTTAATGAAAATAAAATGATACATGATGAGATTTTTTTTAATTAACGATCAGTTTACGCGTTACATCACTGTATTTTATGTTCTTTATCCAAAATAAAAATTACGCTCATAGGTCTGCTCCACTGCACTGCAGGGCTCAAGCCTCCATCCATTTTAGGAAGGATTTTGGAGTAATAAAGAGGGATGCCCTTAATAAGTGTTGGTAGACTTTATATAATAAGCAGGTTCCCTCACAATGTTCTTTTTTAATCCTATTCAAAGTGTTTACACTACCCCGCATGCCCGATATGCATCCCGTGAGTGCCATAAAATAAGTCAGAGGGAAACTGAAACAAGAGAAAATCAACAGTGTTTTCATAATAACAATAAAATATAATAAAATAACTGCCGATCCCAGTGCCAGTTGTGGCAACTATGGCAAAATTGTTCCTATGAGGCAACATCTAGGAACGCCCTACGTTCAGCAGAACATTTGTTAGGCTGGATATGGAACCAAAGATAAACTATTTTTATATTCCAACAAAAACAAAACCATTATCTCAACATTGTGAAAAATTAAATATACATGTTGCGATTGTTAATCTTTGATGAAAATTGATTATGATTGAATATCCACGAAGTAACATTGATAATATTTTTTAACCAAAACACTGTTGTGAGCATTCACAATTATACTTCAAGCTGACGCCAATTGATTCAGAAAGCTCAATGTCGAAACTATTTTGAAAGATTTATTCAATGAATGCAAAGAAAAGAAAAATGAAACTATTGACCAGGATTTGATTCAAAGCGATATTCAATGTACGTTTATGTAGCGATTTAAAACGATGTCCTTCCGCATTATTTGATGGCGTAGTAGGTTAAGGTCAACATATTGGTATTAAAAATTACCGATAATTGTTGGGACTCAATCGGATTATTATTACAATTGTATATGTTTGCAGGTATGTTAGTCAATGTTTGTCAAATATTATATCAATTGTGACTTAGTAGTCAATATTTGTTGTATAGAGCATGAATTTTATTCACACGTAAATTTTAAGGTCACCGCTTGAAAATAAATTTAGTTTTTTGTGGTTTTATCCCTCTCGTTCCATAATAACATTGTTTTGCTAATATTTATGTACTAGCTGGTCCCGACGGGTTGCTGCCGCAGATGAAATAATTGAGGAAATATCGTTTCAAATTTGTAATAGTTATATTGTTTAATTAATAATGATAATACATTCATTGAAATAGAAATTGAATTAGGTTCAAATAAATTTGTCGTTAAGATGCGCGCGCCGCCTAGATTCACAATTCAGATGAAGTTATCTTCCGTTGTCAGACACTACCATTGATGCAAAAAAATCTGTTGATCCGATCGCTACCAAACTTTACAGGATCAGCCGATAATCAAATCTGAAGATATCCTGAAAATTTCATCGAAATCAGTCCGGCCGTTTCGGAATCTATACGGTACATATACACACAATTAAAATTTTAAAATCCACAAAACTAAATTATTTTTTGTTTATTACTATTAAATTGAAAACAATTCGATTAAAATTCTTTAAAAAAGAGCTCATAAGCAAAAATTTAAGCTATAGGCTTTTAACGTCCTAAAATACTAGGCAGAAACATCTCATTTCTGAAAGAATTTTAGAGCGATTCATCCGCCGCGCTGCTCCGGTGTGTAATGGTGGAAGGTAACTTCACGACGCTGTCCCTCACCGCTGAGCACGTGGTAAATCAGCACTTAAATTGCAATTAACAATTTCACAAGTACGCGCTCCGTGAAATTTACGGAGTTCGCTTAGTACCTTTTTTTTATAGGAGAGGGGGCAAACGAGCATTCGGCTCAGCTGATGGTAAGTGATTACCGCCACCCATGAACAGCTGCAATACCAGGGGATTGCAGATGCGTTGCCGGCCTATTAAAAAGAAATAGACTCTTATCTTGAAAGCCCCTATAGTCAACCAAATTTAAGAAATACTTTTTGACGTTTCACATTTATCATTCCGCATTAACTTTGCACAAGCGTACTCACACGATTTAAAATAACCTTATACGTAAATCCGAAGAATTATGAAGTTATTTATATTTAATTACAACGTGTATAGTTTTTTTAATCACTACTTTAAATCCAAATCCTTCAAACAAAGCAAAATATTTAAAAAAAAACTATATCAACTTTTTTAATTGACGTCGTTTCAATGATATGTCGCTATGTAACTTACCATAGTGTTTGGATGATTAAAATTCATTGTTATGCGATTAATCGGCAATAATATTCAAATAATCGATAAAACTATTCAAACAATCGAATCATTAATTTTTACTATATTATTTGTTTAATTAAATTTTTATTTTTAAAATTCCTTAAAATACATGAATCATAAATAAAACAAGTTTATTTTTTTTACTTTGTCAACGTAAATTTGTGTAGGCAAAAAAACTCATATACAAGGCCACGCTGAAACACCCCACTATATACGTAACTTCAATCTCTCACTATTTCGGGAGCTTACTGTGCGTAACTTTGTGATTTTGTGTTTGTCTTCTTATCTTGTGACTCGGCTTTAACTTTTTGAACTGTTTCTTCTATATTCGTTGAAGCATGTGCCCATGTCATAAAGAATGATTGGGCAAAAGTGGTCGAAAAAACAAAAAAAATATCATGGATGACTTTGAAAGAGACATTAATTTTGACTGCATTATTGAAAATCAAATAATAATTAATCTAAAAAACGACAGCTCAAATAGTTGTACTGAAAGCGATTGAATAAATTAATTTTTAATCTAGTTTCAATCTTAAATTTTTATAACTTGGCCTCTAGAAATAAGCAGTTACAACAAATATGAAGAAACTGGTAAATCTTGGGTTTTAGATTATCCGTTTTTAATTTATTCTGGTACTATTCAAACAAAACTGTAAATGATTACCAACTCTAAGTGGCAGTTGATTCCACAAAGAAGTTGCGGAACCTGACTATCAGCGCTTATAATGCAATGCTGAAATTAAGCTTCTAAACTAGCAAGCGAAGATACAAGTTGTTCCGGTTATCTGCTATGAGAAAAATATTCATTGGCATTATCTACGTAAAGACTAAACAGTAAATTTAGCAAATTTGAAAAAAAATAGCCTTCCGACATATTCAAAAATATTGCTTATGCATAAATATTAAATAAAAGAGTAATATTTATATTGTAAATACGAGAAAACTAAAGCTAATACTGATCACTGAACTGCAAAGAAGCAATAATTCATCGATTAGGCAAAGTAGTCATTCTTACTTCAAAAAAAATAATTTTAAGTTAAAA